TTCTTCACTTCCACTGTGTATTCATAAGGGATTTGGTTTAGATTATACCTGACTAGCCCAGTGGTTTTTCCTTCTTTCTTCAGTTTAAGCTTGAGTTTTGCTATGAGAAGCTGATGATCAGAGCCACAATCAGCTCCAGGTCTGGTTTTTGCTGACTGTGTAGAGCTTCTTCATCTTTGGCTGCAGAGAATATAATCAGTCTGATTTTGGTATTGCCCATCTGGTGATATCCATGTGTAGAGTCGCCTCTTGTGTTGTTAGAAAAGAGTGTTTGTGATGACCAGCTTGTTCTCTTGACAAACTCTATTAACCTTTTCCTTGCTTCATTTTGAACTCCAAGGCCAAACTTTCCTGTTGTTCCTTTTATCTCTTGACTCCCTACTTTAGCATTCCAATCCCCTAGAATGAGAAGAACATCTTTCTTTGGTGTCAGTTCTAGAAGGTGTTGTAAGTCTTCATAGAATTGGTCAATTTCAGTCTCCTCAGCATTGCTGGTTGGTGCATAAACTAGGGTTATTGTGCTGTTGTAAGGTCTGTCTTGGATTCATATTCAAATCATTCTATCATTTTTGAGAGTATATCCCAGTAAAGCTTCTCCCACTTTTTTGTTGACTATGAGGGCTACTCCAAATTTCTACGGGATTCTTGCCCACAATAGTAGATATGATAATCGTCTGAATTGAATTTGCCCATTCCCATCCATTTTAGTTCATTCACACCCAGGATGTTAATGTTTTTTCTTGCCATCTCCTCTTTGACCACATCCAGCTTCCCAAGGTTCATAGATCTTACATTCCAGGTTCCTAAGCAGTATTTTTCTTTGCAGCATTGGACTTTCCTTTCACTGCGAGTCACGTCCACCGCTGAGCGTCCTTTCAGCTTTGGCCCAACCCCTTCATTATCTCTGGAGCTACTTGTCCTTGTCCTCCGTTCTTCCTAAGTAGCATGTTGGACGCCTTCCGACCTGAGGGGCCCATCTTCCAGTGTCGTATCTTTTATCCTTTTGTTTCTGTTCATGGGGTTTTCTTGGCAAAGATACTGGAGTGGCTTGCCAGTTCCTGCTCCAGGTGGATCGCGTTTAGTCAGAACTCTCCACTATGACCTCTCCCTCTTGGGTGGGCCTGCATGGCATGGCCCATAGCTTCTCTGAGTTACTCAAGTCCCTTCGTCCCAACAAGGCAGCAATCCATGAAGGGGAATATACCTGTTACAGAAGTAGAATGTACTTGTCTGCTTCTCCCCCTTGCCTATCTTGTATATTTTGAATACAAAAATCCCTTTCCAGAAATTTCTTTCAGTTTCCTTAAAAGGAAACTTATCCTGTGGAAAGAATGCCCTAAAGCTTCCCCATTTTCCCAAGCAACAGCATATTGGTGTTAGAATTATTCCTGAAGGGAAGAAACAGTAGCACACTAAAGTGAAGATGGCATGTATGTCATGTTGCATTTGACAGTTGTGAACAAACATTAGTTTTGCACAAATTTTGCCTTGAAAATCCCAGCACTTATGAGAGAGAGAGAGAGAGTTTACCACTTAGAATTGCTGTGAATGTTACTGCTTCTGACAAATCCAGCAGCACAATCCTGTAATGAAAGAAGATTCAGGATGGCATCTCTGTGTGAATGTGGAACTCCTTAGGATTTTTTTTCTGGTGATATGAAAGGGAATAGAAGACTTTTCTGTTTTGATTCTTCTTTTTTTTCTTACCAAAGCAAAAAGGAGCCCTCCCACCTTCCGTTCAGTTTGATGCACTGATTAGCAATTAAACAAACATTTGTCATACTGCCCTCTGACCTTTTTCAGGCTGGAGTGGGTATGGAGGGCAGGTTTTATCTATGTATGTATGGTGTGAGGGGTGTATTTAGAGGGAAGGCAAAACATTGAATAGGTATGGAAAGTACAGAGAAAAAGAAGTTTAGGAAGCTCCTTGTTGTTGTTTAGTCGTTAACTCATGTCTGACTCTTCGTGACCCCATGGACCAGAGCACGCCAGGCCCTCCTGTCTTCCGCTGCCTCCCAGAGTTGGGTCAAATTAATGTTGGTAGTTTTGATGACACTGTCCAGCCATCTCGTCCTCTGTCATCCCCTTCTCCTCTTGCCTTCACACTTTCCCAACATCAGTGTACAGTATTTTTCAGGGAGTCTTCTCTTCTTATGGCCAAAGTATTGGAGCCTCAGCTTCAGGAAGAAGACATTTTACTAATTCTGTCTCTCGGAAGGCGCAGAGAAAAAAAAATAGAAAAAATAATGGTACCAGCTGGGGTGCTGCCTCTGAGTGGGTGTCCACTGGAGGAGGTGGGGCTGGGAAGCAGCAAACACCTGTTTAGCAGGGGGGGAATGAACCTGCAGTCCATGTCCATCTCTTAACTACGAGGCATGTGAATGAATGTTACACTGTTTCAGTTGCTTATTTTTGAAGTCCATGTAAATAGTGTGATTGGTTAAGAATGTCCCCCTGCCCGAACATTGCAACTAGAATCTTATTGCCTCTTTTCCTGCACACAAAGGAGTGTTGGATGACCAATGGAGCTTTTGAGGAGCTTTCCCAAGAAGGCATCCTTTGGAAACATAAGCTCTGTTGGAAAAAATGGGGATGACATCCAGCTTGCATACCTGCTAGCCAGAGAACCATAGACAAAGTTTTATGACACACCCACTCAACAGAATTCTGGTTTCCACACATAAGTGACATTTGAGGATGAAAACTGTGTTTGCATGGATTTCCATTCTTTTAAGCAATCTGTTTCTATGTAAATGTTTGAGAACAGTAATTTGATTGTCAGTGTTCCATACATCCCCATTAACCAGTTGTGAATTTTCAGTGCAGGGCTATGTAGCAGATGCACCAAAGAGACTGGACATCATTTATATAAGAAGTGCTTTATTAAGATTTTGAGATATTAGAAATTTCTAGCTCTTGTGTTCGTTACAATGTTCAGAATTAAATTTGTTGTTCAGACAGTGACTTTATTACATGGTGGGAACAAGAGTTAATGCCGTCCGAACTTCTTAACTTTTTACAGTTTCAAATATAAGAAAGTGAATTCTTTCAGAAATGATGGAAAATAGGGCGAAATTCTTATTTTTAAGTTAATATTTTCTTTGTGAGTTTTATCTGCTATCGTTTCTTGAAAATTGGTTATGGTGGGTGTGCCTGTAGGTATCAAAGGAGCCGATGGTAATTTAGATTGTAAACTGTACAGTAGTTAGGTAGTAAGCACTGTGGTTCTGCATTCAGTTGTAATTTGCAGGACAGGAATTGTGAAAGCCACCTGTTGGCTTCTTGGCTGGCAGCCAGATTCCATCCTGCTGAAGCTGGCAAGAAAGGAGGAAGCTTGGGCATTGTATATCCGGAACAGTTTGTTGATAAGATTGGCTCAGTAAAATAGAAGGCTCTGGTTAAAGGCACACCATGGATAAAACTACCACCTTCTGAAGCCATTTCTCTTTTGCCTTCTTAGGGTATATTAGGCAGGAGAGGGACCAGTAAGGGTTATTCATGAAATTCTGCCGGTAAGTATTTTGTGTAGCTTGCATAGTCATTGCTTGTTGACAGGCAGTTGGTGGTTACAGCCATTGCCTTAGTTGGCCATTCTGAATTGGTCATCGTTTCCCCTTTGAGTAGTCTTGGTTTGGACAAAGAAGCTGTCCCTATTTTGTTCTGATAATTACAGTGACTCTTGGTTTTTTCCCCCTGTATGACGTTTTGAGGTTAATGAGACAGAAAGGAAAAAGCCTTTTCATTTAATTGTTTGTAGATTTTGTGTGTTAATCCCTTCCCTGTTTTTCCAAACCTTCATTTCACTGCTGCCAGCTGATCTTCCCATCAGAGCTCCTCCCACCCCCATCTTCTTTATCCATATTTTCCTGCATTTTGCAGCACCAGCTGCTTGTAGTGAAATCTGCCAGCACTGTGTTGCCTGGTAGCGTGTGGCTGTGATTTGGAAGCATTAATGAGAAAGGAGATAGATTTTAACAGTTGGCGTGACTCTCATAAACTGTGAGTCAGTTCAGGGATCAAGCCAAACTATGTCTAAGGATGTTTCTCCCTCTCTGCCCCTGAACAATAAAAGGACCCATAAATCCCGAGATGAAAGGAAGAAAAGACATGTAAACCACTAACCAGGCAGCAATCTGTGACGTGGGATGATTCAACGGCAACAAGAACAGCCACAGTGACCCACTGAAGACAGAGAACTGCTATATCTTGGAGGGGGAAAAAGGGGAGGGGACAATATTTTGTGAAATTTTCCCTTTTGGGTGTGTGTGTAGGTTCTTGTAAATTCCATGGACTACATCTAAATAATCTTAGTTAAAGCTGTTCATTGAGTGAGACTTATTAGGTGAACATTTATGTAAGTCCCATTGATTCAGTGGGTTCACTCTATTTAGGACTACTTTTGTATTTAACCCTTTTAACTTCTACTTGTGCATCATGAGCAGGTGCAGGCAACTAATGCACATTGAAAGAAGGGCACATTTCTGACTTCATGTTTCCTTCTGGAAGACTGCTGCAAAATAGGTGTGAAAGGGATGTGGGTGGAAATATGTATTTCAAAATTGGGCCCAATTTGATCAATTATTTGTGTGGCTGGTGGCCTATAAGAAACCTGTTTCACTGTTGTTAAGGTCCCTAGCTAGAGTGGAATGTTACATGGTAGAGGCAAGCAGGTCAAATGACTCTAAACAAGCAAAGAAGCATGATCAGGAAGTGGGATTGGTTTTGCTTATAAAGTGCAGATCCATCATCAGTGGAGATTAAGCAAGTAATTTTTATCTCCTTTTTTCAGGGTCTACTTACAGTGTACTGTCCATAATGCCATCAGACTCTGAAAGCAGCAGTTCTCTTAGCAGCACTGGTAAGAAATATACTGGGTTGATTTTGATTATTTGCTTTGAGTTACATTCATTCAAAACTCACATACGTCTTCTTACTCATTGTGTGTGTGTGTGTGTGTGTGTGTGTGTGTGTGTGTGTGTGTGTGAGAGAGAGAGAGAGAGAGAGAGAGAGAGAGAATTTTATTATCCATCTACAATAATATTCCAGGCAAGTCATGTATCGATAAGAGTGTCTCTCGGCACCTGTTTTTAGTTAGGGTTGAATTTCTAAACTGTTGGACCAGAAATGGGTTAACAAATCAGAGGTTTGGAAAAGTGAGGGGTGAGGAGAAAGTGAGGGCTCTTTTATTCTTTTCTTCCCCTTAGTGGAGTAGTTGCTGTGGGTTTGCAGTCAAATAAAGCTCCTCCTTGGCCTCATCCCTCACTTTCTCCAGTGATTGATTCATAGCGGAGCAGTGCTTGTATCATCCTTTCCCTTTGCATCCACAGTAATTGGCAGAGGAGACAAATAGGGACATTTCATAGGGACATAGTACAGTATGTCTAAATCCCTCACTGCCTTCCCCAGTAGTCATTTTTGATGCAAAATGTGAGTTTAACCTTCCTTTGCCTCTGATATGCATCTCTGTCTAATAAAGTGGCTGAAGAGGACAGCCTTTGATGGAAATTTATGCCAAATGAAGTTGTAGTCTCTAAGAAGCTACAAGGCTCTTGTTGATACTATCTTTAAATTTACTGGGGTTGGATATGCATCAGATGAGAAGACCTCTAAGTTTGCTGTGATAGTGGATGGAAAACTTTGTTGGACAGGAAGATCCTGGGAAATTGAGCACTCTAACCTGAGAACCAGCACTATCCCTCCTGCTGCCTGAAGCAAGAAGAGAAACATCTTTCCTAGCTGTTGCCATGATGCTACCACTAGTGGCACAGTGATGATGAAAGATGGCTGCTGCTGCTTTCTCCTAGGCACCTCCCAACCTCACAGCTGTTTCTTATACTCTGTGTATGTAAAACTTGGCACTGAAGATCCTCGGAATATGACATTATGCATGCAGGGGACCAAGAAATGGCTATGCCGGGGAGGTAGGGAGATGGTAAAAGCAGCAGCAGAGGCTACCAGGATTGTCCAGGTGAGGCAGCGAAGACTGGGGAGCCCTGGCAGCTCTGCTTTTCCCTGAATTCCATCACCTTAGGTAACTGCCTCATTCTGGTCAGTGGCCAAGGTGGTCCTGCTAAGAACTCTCAGATGTGACATTGGCTTTCCTCAGGTTGTCCCAGCTGATAATTATTATGTTTATCAAAAACCAGGATCAGTACCTTTGTGTTATTATGTTCTAATGGGTGTATGGCCCAGTAGCATGTGGTAAAGCATGTGTGTGTTCTTATTAGAAAGGTGCCTTTTAGGCTTTGGGAAGAAACATGGAATGAGAACTTTTTTTTTGACAAGGGTAGAGACATTCTCTTCATTTAAGCCCCCAAGAGGACCACACTTATTTCTGCTTGGGCATTAGGTGGTTTTGCTGGAATATTGGAAGTTAAACTTCAGATTTTTGCTTTAAAATGTCTCTTCTCTCCACAATACAGTACTGTTTTTTTGTTCTTTCTTGGCTCAGCAAGACATATTTAAGAAAATACCAGCTTGCATTTTCAAACAGCAGTTCTCGTTATGTTCCAAGCACAAGAAAAACAGAATGAATATTTCAACAACTGATCCCTGAGATAATGAAAATACTGCTATCATTAAATAGTTCTTCTGTCAGGGTGTGAAAACATTTTTATAAAATATTTTATAACAAACCAGAGGCCAGCTTCACTTGGTTGGGATAAGCATTTAGGAAGCCTAAAGCTTGCATATTTGTGCCTCCTTTAACATGTAGGTGTTCTCTGTATCCAACTCTGGATTTAGACAAACCATGGTTAATTGATTTGATACCGCAGACAAGCCAGGATTGCAAGAGAGCAGCCACAGAGCATGAGGAGAGCAAAGAGAGAGGGAGAAAAGGGGTTTTATCTGAGGGTTCCCAAATGCCTACTCACATAGCACTGAACTCAATAGCGTCCTTGAGTTCGTGGCAGAGGTTGAACATTAACTCCTTAATAGAGTTGTTTCCTCAGAATTTTCTCTGATGTTTTTAAGGCCAGAATTCAGTAATAGCAAATAAACAAATTAACAGTCTGTCCCATCTTTCCTGGCAGCATTTTTCTCCAGTTGTGTGTACAATCTGTTCTAGGTCCTTCCTCCTTCTCTCTAATCATGCACAGGAATTCCCATTGTCATATCCTTGCTCAGTTCTTGAATGGGGACAAATGGGCTATGCCATAGCCCTGTGTGAATGGAATACAGTGGTGCCTCGCTTTACGAGCACTCCGTTTGACGACGAAATCACTTGATGTTGAAGATTTTGTGATCGCAAAAGCGACCGCAAAATGATATTCCCTATGGGGGAATTTCACTTTGCGATGATCGGTTCCCTGCTTCGGTAACTGATCATCGCAAAGCGATGATTTTCGCACAGCTGATCTGTGGTTTCAAAATGGCTGCCGGGTAAAAAACATGGCCGCCCGCTGCTTTCTGGAATGAATTCCTTGCTGCACAGGCAGCAAAAATGGCTGTGCTATGGAGGATCTTCGCTGGACGGTGAGTTTGAAGCCCATAGGAATGCATTAATTGGGTTTTAATGCATTTCTATGGTTTTTTTAAATATCGCATTACGACGTTTTCGTTCGACAGCGATTTTGCTGGAACGAATTAACGTCATCATGCGAGGCACCACTGTATATGTCTGCTAACATGTCTCAAAATCATATAACCGTTTTCAAGCTTCATGTCTCATGTTCGTTAATACCAAGCTTTAATTTTGTTGGAATGAAATTTCTGACAGAGCAACAGGGATCGGTATGTGGATGAGGAGATAATCAGATGATCCATTGGATTCTATGCAACTCCGCCATTTTAAGATGGTGATGGTGATGATAGCTCTGTCTCCATAGTATTGAAATGGCTTCCATTTGGATAGTGCAGCTGTAGGTAGATAGGTAGGTAGGGCTCATATAATCCCCTGTGCCCTCTTAAGAGGGGTCACGAAGAGTCAGACATGACTAAACGACGACGCCCTCTTAAGAGGTTGGTGAATATTCGTGCCATGCTCTTAGGGCTCCCACCCCATTTTTTTTAGGTTGACCATTGAAGAGTGTAGGGAGGCTTTTTCATTTTAAAAGGAAATCTATTCTTATAAGAAATAGTTTTGGGGTAAGGAGTTCCAAGGGGAGTTGTTGTTAAGTGCTGTCAAGTTGGAACTGACTTAAAGTGATCCTTACAGGGTTTTTAAGGTAAGTGCGATATTTAAGGAGTCTTTTTACCAGTTCCATGGCCCCAGCCAGTTTCCATGGCTGAGTAAAGATTTGAACCCTGTTGTCCACTACACCACACTGGGAACAACATCTAGGGTCTAGGAATGTGCTGCCCAGACCTGTGGAGGTTGCCCACCCCAGTATGAAGGAGAGGGAGAGTTACTTTAAATCATCTTGCAGTTTTGTTTTGCCCATACTTGAGTTAATGGGTACGTTTACAACCTGGTGTGTTTAAATTCACATAACAATAGCATGGCAGGATTCCTTTTTGCCTGAAAAACTGCTTTGAGAAGGGGGCACTTGAGAGATGATGGAGAGGCAGTGGCTTAAATGGCCTCTCCATCACTTTTTCCCTATATGGGCTTTCAGATATGTTTGCTGTCAATCTGACACTGATCAGACTGATTTCTGCTAAGCTTTAAAACTGCAGTGCCATCTTTTTGCATTCAGACCACACTCTGAGCACTAACATACGTTATTTAGGTTCCTTCTCTTTTCCTTCTGTGCTTTCCTTGTTCCAAAATGTTGATATGATTACTGCCCTCCCTTCTAGTCCTAGAATCTCTGAGTCAGGCCACATTTCTGCATTTTTGACTTGCAGAAATTATGGACAGTCACCCTCTACTAGATAGTTTAGCTGCACTTTACAGTCAAAATAATCAAGACAGTATGCAAATGTAGTATTTCAAAATAAGTGTGGATTATTATTTTCAAAATAACATTGTCTGGCAACCTGCTGTTTAATTGCATGGATTTCTGAAAAACTTGAGGCTAGTGGTAGGCTTTATCTGATGAGAGAAAGGGGAAAGTGCTGTCCTAATGGGGTTGCCTCCGTAAGTCCTCAAACTCCTGTATGTATAGGACATGGATTATGTTCATGCATACCCAGTAGATACAGAATCCATTATTTCAGGGTAAGCTTATGATCAACGTTCCCTCTAAGCCGTGTGAGTGCGTGGCTGCACAGTCGCTGTATTGGTGCTGTGCAGATCAAAATTTTGTCATTCATTCTAATTTACAAAATACAGTTGTTTTGGCCACCATACTTATCACCCAAAACCAAGGATAGGCCTACTTTAGTGCAAAACGAACATTCATTGCTTGCACTGGATGTCATTCTATAATTATGCTCGGGGTCTTTCCCCAAAGTAATGATGTCACATGCATTTCCACTTCACTTGGCACTATTTCCACGAATCTGCATGAAAGTTTGAATGTCATGCAGTAGTTTTCAATTTAAAATATTTTTGCTCAAAGCATCAAAAGTTTCACTCAGTGTTTGGGAAAAATTAGAAGGAGTATTGCTTATGATGAATGGCTTGCTTCATCCCACTCTGCAGCATTTTACATTGCTTTTTAGCCCAGTTGTTGTATGAGATTGCAATGATACTTGTGAACTCTGTGGAAAAGAGATGGTGGGTACATTCACTGGCAATTCCCTTAGCTTCCCTCAGTGTGTAAGAAGTGAAGTGCAGAGCCAATTTTAATGAGCTTTTCTCTTATCAAAACTATCCACATTTCCCACAAAATTTGTTGTTGTTTATTGTGAGCAGGAAGCTCGACCATATCAATGAAATTTAATGGATTTTCCGGGCCAAACACACTGTATAGAGAGATTTTTTTTCCTGCTAGATCAAGACATTCAGCAGCTATCCTGTGCCAGCAAGAG